ACAAGGCCCATATAGAGGAGTTAACTATGAAATTGGAGGACATGAGGAAGGCAGGGGGCAATCGAAATTGGGAGGCTTGGGATAGGATCCAAAGAGAACTTGATGAAGCTAATGTTAAAGAGGAAATTTTTTGGCAGCTGAAAGCACGGCTTCTTTGGTTTAAGGAGGGCGACAACAACACTAAATTCTTTCATGCCTATGTAGCTCAAAGAAGGAAGATGAATGCTATAGAGAGGCTGTTGGTGGATGGTCACAGATGGGTAGAAGATCAACATGAAGTGGAGCAGACCATTACTGAGCACTTTGAACAGTTGTATTCCTCTGAGGGCACTAAAAATGGGCACTTACTTCTTCCTCTGATTGAACCCAGAATTACAGAGGATATGAATACACTTCTAATTGCACCAGTAGGGGAGGATGACATTAAGCAAGCTGTATTCAGTATACATCCGGATAAGGCTCCAGGAGATGACGGCATGACGGGTCTTTTTTACCAGCACTTTTGGCCGATTATAAAGCATGACTTATGTGCAGCAGTGATGAGCTTCTTCAATTCAGGGCTATTTCTCAGGTACTGGAAGCACACTTTAATTACTTTAATTCCTAAATGCCCGAATCCCACTTCTGTTCATCAATTTCGGCCAATAAGCTTATGTTCAGTATTTTATAAGGTTGTGGCCAAAATTTTAGAATTGAGACTGAGGCAATGCCTTCATGTATGCATCTCAGAAAATCAATCAGCATTTTTACCTGGCAGAAATCTCATGGATAATGTTATTATTGGGCATGAAGTTTTCCATTTTCTTAATAGACACAGGAGTGGTAATAATCAGTTCATGGCTTTAAAAATGGATATGATGAAGGCACATGACAGATTAGAATGGAAAGCTATTCAGCTCACAATGCTTAGGATGGGTTTCCATCCTCAGTTTGTTAAGTGGATAATGGCATGCATCACTAATCCCTCCTTTTCTGTTAATATTAATGGCAAATTGTGTGGCTTTATCAATGCATCTAAAGGAATAAGACAAGGGGATCCCCTTTCCCCGTACTTATTTCTCATTATTTCTGAGTTGCTGTCTGCCAAAATAAATTCTGAAGTAGAGAAAGGATGTTTTAAGGGGGTCAGGTTGTCCAAAGAAGGGCCAATATTAACTCACCTCATGTTTGCTGATGATACTTTATTATTTTGCAAAGCAGAGGTCAGATAAGTGGAGTTAATTATGAATATATTGCAAGCATACAGGGATTTCACAGGACAACAAGTCAACTTATCTAAATCTTCTGTTTTTTTCAGTAAAAATACTCTTGTGGACCTTAGTGGCAGGATATGCTCTATTATGGAAGGAATTCAGATTCATTCTTCCACAAGGTATTTGGGGTTGCCTATGGGGATATGCAAGTCAAAAAAAGAGGCATTTGATTATATCATATCAGTGGTGAAAAGTAGAATCCTCAATTGGAAGAACAAATGGCTGTCCACAGCAGGGAAGGAAACTTTAATCAAGGCTGTGATCCAAGCATTACCAGTATATGCTATGTCTTGTTTTATCCTTCCAACTGGTCTTTGCAAGGAGATTTCCAGGATTTGCAGTCAATTCTGGTGGGGGAAAGGAGCAGATGAGCAGAGATGCTTTCATTGGATAGCTTGGCAGAATATGACTTTAGCAAGAGAGCATGGAGGGTTAGGCTTTCAGGATATTCAGCTGTTTAATAAAGCACTTGTTGCAAGACAGTTATGGAGACTCCTGGTGGTTCCTAATTCTTTGGCCAGTAGGGTGTTCAAGTCAAAATATTTTCCCCAGTGCTCTCTTTTTGAAGCTAAGAAGAAGGCTAATTCCTCATGGCTATGGAACAATTGGCTCAAGGTCTTGCAGATCTATGGTAAGTGGATGAGATTGGAGATCAGGAATGGGAAGTCAGTCAATGTATGGGATGAGCATTGGATTCCAAATATGATGGGGAAGCCAGTTGAGCTGCTGCCAGGCATTGATAGGAATATCAAGAAGGTGAGTGATTTGATAACAGCAGATGGATTCCATTGGGATGAGGACAAAGTCAGAAAGACCTTTCCTTCCTTGATCTGTGAACAAGTCCTCAGCATTGACAAACTGGATCCAAATGAAGAAGATAGATGGGCATGGACATTGCATGATAAAGGTATGTTCACAGTTAAATCCACTTATCATAAATTGATTACTGAGAAATATTTGAAGATGGATAGAGCCCAAGGAAGTGATGATTTGAGAAGGGACAGTATAGTTAGAAACAGGAGCTGGAAACTCAAGATAATGGGGAAAATAAAACATTTTCTTTGGAAATGCTGTAATGGATCTCTCCCAGTGGCTGTGAACTTACAGAATAGAGGATTCCAAATTGACACAATATGTAGATGTTGTGGGGAGGGTCAGGAAACTGTAGAACATCTCCTGTTCCATTGTAGAATTGCTCAGCAGACTTGGAAGATGGCACCTGTCAGTTGGAATGGCCCTCAGAAGCAGGAATCGTTCAAGAGTTGGTGGTGGCAGGTTTGCCAATTAGATAAGTCTGAAGTTTCTGAAGCCCGAATACAACTATCGACATACATTCTTTGGTGGCTTTGGAAATCTAGGAATTTGTGGATCTTTGAAGGTGCTCGGATGCCTGCACTTCTTATTGTTCAAGCGGTTGTTAAGGATTGGCAAACTTACTTGAGCAGTAGAAGGTTGCAGGCAGGCTGTAAGTGAGGTTAATCATTGATGGGCTAGGATTTCTATCAGTGGCCATCTATTTTATGTCGTTGTATGAGTTTGTATTATTAGGGGTAAAGGCTCAATGGTGTTTCATTGCTTTATCCCTGTGGTATTTGTATTGAT